GTCTACAGAAAACCTAAAGAGTAGACAAATCCAAATAGACTCGTGGTTGACTAGGGCTGGAGGTGGGAGGGGTGGGGAACAGAAGAGTGAGGAGTGACTACTAATACGTATGGGGTTTCTGGGGTGATGAAAATGTTCTAAGAGTGATTGTGGCTGGCGATGGTTGCTCAACTTTGTGTTTACTAAAAGCCATTGAATTGTGCCTTGTGAGTGAGTGAATTGTATGGTATGCAAATTATCTCAGGAAAACTTACGTATTAAGAAAAGGGAAATTAAGTCTATAAACAGTGGTTTCCCAAGTTCACTATACCTAAGAATCACCCAGAATTCTTGTTAAAAATGCAGTCCTGGACCACTCTACTCCAAGACTTCTTACTCAGAGGGACTGAAGAGGGACCTGAGAATCTACATTTGTTTTTAAACCAGTAGCCTATTTGATTCTGATACTTCGTGAAACATTGATGCTGCCAGGGGCCCTCTGCTTGAGAAGTTTCTGATTTCTTGTTCATGGTTGAAGTGTTCTTTAGTCACCCCATGTGCAGGGGTGGATAGTCCTTCAGCCTGGATCAGTCTCTTTTCTGGATTCAACCCTAACATTCTAGCAATTTATTTTGAAGATGTTAATGGAAGAGTAGAGACACAGCTATTTTAAGTCTAAAACACATATGTTGAAAATTAAGTTTTTACTCAATAAAAATTCATTGAATTAACAGAATTTTTAGAAGTGAAGCATAAATGAATTAAAAAGACCAAAAAGCTTAATATCTACCTTATTTTACTCACTTTACATGCTCCACCTAAATCCCCAATATGATGGTTCGAAGTTGCTATGGGTCTCTAGTCACCCATCTGTCCTAACCAGCCATCATGATAGTAGTCTACACAAGGGAGACCCAGGAGTATAAGATGGTTCAGCATAAACCCCAAATCACACAATGTTAAGAACTGGTAGGAGCCTCTTAGACACCTTGAGAGGCAGAATAATGCCCCCCAATGATGTCCAGGTCCTGATCCCTGGAATCTGTATGTTACCTTACATGGCAAAGGGGGAATTAAGGTTGCAGAAGGCATGAAGATTACTAATTAGAGTAGCTTGGAATATCCAGGGGGCCCAATCACAATCACAAGGGTCCTAAAAAGCAGAAAAGGCAGGCAGCAGAAGAGAAAAGGTAGTGTGATGATGGAAGCAGGGTCAGAGAGATGAGAGATTCGAAATTGCTGACACTGAACATGCAGGAGGAGGCTATGAGGCAAGGAATGCTGGACGCCTCCAGAAAACACATAGAAACAGACCGTCTCTCCTAGAGTCCCCAGAAAGCCCTGTACACACCTTGATTTTAACATAGTGAGGCCCATGTCACACTTCTGAGCTCCAGAACTGTAAGATTATTACAAAGCTGTGTTGTTTAAAGCCACTAAATTTGTGGTAATTTGTTACGGCAGCAATAGGTAAGTAGTACGAGGTCCAGTCCTTGATGGGGAGATTCTGAAAGCCAGGATCATTGCCTGGCAGCTTAGGATGGATCAAGAGAATCTCCTTCATATACATGGGAGAGAAATACCATCAATGTCCAGCAACATCTTCATCCTCAGCTATAAGGACAAACCCCTCACCCTCTCTGGGCTGGTTTCACCTGTATAATGGGAGTAGTGGCTAGTTTGGCAGAGGTTCTTAATAACAGACAGGCAAAGGTGAAGTCCTTATTTTCAAAAGTTACCAGTGATACTGACAGCTGCCCCTTCTATAATCACGGTCCCATGTAGTTCTTGGAGAGCTGTGATTGGATTGCTGGTGGGAAGATCTACTCACTTAGGTATGCAGGTACACATCCTTACAGGGAGATTTTCCAAGCAGCAGTGACCCAAAATGGGTCAAGAATTGCTACTTTGTACTGGGCAGGGAAGAGCTTCCCCCTAAGTGGGAATTTCATGTGATGGCACCTCTTTTCCCCTAATCACCATAGCTTGGCATCCTAATTACTTTTACTTTTCCTTACAAGTTCATTGTAACTTGTCATTAGACCTGTCTATGCTGCACCCAAATGCCCTCCCCCACTTCCCGCTCCTCTTCTCTCCGACCATTACCGCCACCACCCGACCAAGCCTCCAGAGTGGGTCCCCAGCCCCAACATCTCAGACCTCCAATTGCCACTCCTGGGAGGATCTCTAGAGACACAAGAATGGGACAGGACTGGGGATGTGTGCAAGGGCGAGGCAGTGCTGAGGGAGGCGGCCACGGTCAAGGAAAGGCAAACCAATGTGGGGATCCCTAAATTTAGGGTATGAGGGCTCAGTCCCAGAGTCGGGTTGGTTGGGGGTAACGAGGAGAGAGGAGAAAGGAGCTGAATCGCTGGTGAAGGATAGGGAGGCGACTTGAGCGCTGGGTTGCAGAGCCGGGGGGCGCCTCCCCTCTAGCATCAGCAGCCCTTGGGGACCCCCGGGGGAGGCCGGCTGGGACCCGAGACCCTCCCCGATCCGCTAGGGCCCGTCCTCACCGGGCACCGGCTGGGTGGCGACGGCAGCAGGGCCCTCCCTCTCCGGAGACCGAGCCGCGGCAGGTCCCTCAGCCTCCGTGCCTGGGGCCCCCGCCTGGGTTTGGGCAGTCACCTCAAGCTGGGGTCACGGCGCGAGCATGCGCAGCAGGGCTTGAGGAGCCCATTCCTTGGGCGAATTCCGTTTCTCCGGGTCTTCCCCACACTGAGCAGAACTGGCGGTCTGACCAATCGGCGCGCGGGGGCGGGCTCAGGGCTCGCGAGTGGGCGGGACCATGCCGGTTTGGGGCGGTGGCGCCTGGTGGGCTAAGTGTCAGCCAGACCCGCCTCGAGTTTTGGACGCCGTTCTCCCAGCACAAGAGAGTTTAATTGAGACCACCGGAACTTCCCCAGGGTTTGACCTTGGCTCCCAGCGGAGGAAGCCGGAGCATTTGTTTAAAGGCTTTGTTCGTCTCCGTCGTTCAGAGCGAGCTGAGGGAAGAACTTCCTTTATGTTCATCAAAGCCACAGACTCTGCTCCGCCTAGCATCCTTGAGGTCGCAACATCCTCGCTATTGGTCACTCCCCGATACTCGGGCCAGCCCTCGCCAGTGGTCCCTCCCTCGCTATTAGTCCCTTCCACGCCCACAGATCCTGCCCTCATCTATTGGTCCAGCCGTTGCCTACCGATTCAGCCCCCATTCTCGGCACACAGCCACTGGACACTTGCCGTTCTCCGACCGTGCTGTGACGAGGGCGCCCTGATTGCTCCGGCTCAGGGAGCTGCGGGCCCTGCGGGCTGCTTTCCTGGACGTTTGACGGGTGGCGGCCGGAGCTGCCCAACATCACCGGAACTGGCGCACACCTTGCCTCTCACCAGCCTCAGGCGCGGCGACACCCCTTCCTCTCCTGCCTGCACCGCGCCGGGAACCCTCCGCTCACCGCGACCCTCCCCAGCCCCGCAGGCTCCTCCCTCTGTCCTCTCCTTTTCTCCAGGCCGGAGCCCCCAGTCTTCTGGCTGCGCTTCCTCACGTTTGCAGAGTGAAGACGCTGCTCCTTTCTAGAAAACCCTACTCCGCCAAAACACCTCCCCTTCGCCTCCCTTCTCTCGCTCTAAAGCTGCTGCTGGAAGTAACCCCCTCCCCACTTCCGGGGCTCCGGGCAGATGCAGGTCCAGGTCTTCTGAGGCCCACCTGCCCTGGGCTTCAGGCATTTCCCACATTCTCCGCAATTTCTACATCCTCTGCGTCCTCCAGTTCTCCCACGTTCCCTTGTACCCTCCTTCTCCTCAAGTCCAACTATCAGCAGAACCCGAACCCGCCTCCAGAAAGGCTCCCTGCTCTCTCCCTGCCCTGGCTTTGCAGATCCCTGCTTCACACCCTCGATTCAGCAGCGACGGCTTGCACAGTCCTCCAGCCCTTTTCTCACGGCCGAGTTATTTCCTGGATATTCTCCAGGGTCATTCAAAGGTCTTCATGACTTTATTTGCCATAATCTATTAATAATCCACTAACTACTGGTTGTTTCTAATTTTATTACGTTATAAATATCTTTGTATCCAAACTTCTGACATTTCTGATTATCTCCTTTTCTGAAATTCCAAAAAAGGGTCTAGTAAGACAAATATTTTTAAGGGCTTTTTAAACATGTTGCTAAAATTTTCCCCAAGGATGTGCACAAGCTTGGAGTGTGATGTCTGGATTCAAATCCCAGCTCTGGCATTGGCTAACTGTATGACAAGCAATTCCTTTCCCTGTTTGTGCCTCAGTTTTTTCATCTGGTAAGTGGGAATAATAGTGTCACCTATCCAATGGAGTAATTGTGAGAATTCACGGAGTATTGTCATGTGGGTCTTGGGTTCTAACATTCATATTCCTTAGTCCAGCTATTCTCAAACATTTTGGTCTCTGAACCCCTTTATTACTTTTTAAAAAATTTAACCATTTTATTTTATTTATTTTGGAGGGTCTTTGATTTTTTTTTTAATGGAGGTACTGGGGATTGAACCCAAAACCTCATACATGCTAAACATGCACTCTACCACTGAGCTATACCCACCCTCCAGAACCCCTTTGAAGAGTGATTACACTCTTTAAATTATTGAACAGCTTAAAGGGCTTTTGTTACATGGGTTACATCTACCAATATTTACAATATTAGAAATCTAAGCATTCAAAATAGCAATAATAAATTCACTGCATAACTATATCTTCAAATTAAAAAGTGAATGAGAAGAGTAGCAGTGTTCTATTTTTTAAAAAATTATTTAATCTGACTGGGTATAGCTCAATGGTAGAGCCCATGCTTAGCATGCATGAATCCTGGGTTCAATCCCTAGTACCTCTATTAAAAAAAGAGAGAGAGTAAAAAGTCTATTTAATATCACATTTGAGAAAAGAGAGCTGGATTCTCATATCTGTGTCTACTTTCACTCTGCTGGGATATGCTGAAGTACATGAAGAAAATTTAGCTCACACAGATAAATAATTGGAAAAGGAAGGAGTATTTTCATAGCTCTTCAGATAACTGAATATTCTTCTTTGATACTACACCAACACTCAACACGTGGTACTTTTTTGAAGGTTAGCTGCAACATGGGATCTGAAATGGTATCAGTACCATTTCTGTATTCCATTACATTAAAATCCACTGATCTATCTTGCACTTTGAAAGGATCTTTTTACTCACATGTGATTTTGTAACATGTGTTGGTCTTTTTGAAAATATTGGTGCACTGAAAAAAAGTAAGAAAATATTGGTTCATTGACATATACAGATATTGCAAATGTTGATACATTTATTAAACAATATGGAAAAATATGTAAAATTTATTAATGCTGCCACCAATCTTAACACAGAAATCTGGCAATACTGGGAAGCTGTGAAGCTAAAGGTGGCAGATACAAGTTTTGCAAAATTTTATTTTTTCCCAGAAGGCTAGAATTTTATCATTGGCAACAAATCCTATCAGTTTGGTGTCACTGCCCTGATTCACACTAAGAACCACCATCGCTTTTGCATCACCAGTACAAAGCCATCACAGAGAAAAAGGCAAACATTGATTTAGCATGACTATGAAAATAATCATGCACCTCCTGAAAGGGCTCTGGGAACCCCTAGGGGTCACTGGAACGCACTTTGAGAACTGCTGCACTATTCATTTTCTATTGAGTTGTTCATCTTTTTCTCACTGACTTAAGAAAGTTTTATTGAACTGAGATTAACCCTAGCATTCCACATGTGATGGAAATATTATCATTTGCATTGAGGGCGGGAGGGAACTGGGGAAACATGTGTATGTGTTTACATAGCTAAATTTAATGGTCTTTTCCAATTTGCATTTCTTTCTTTCTATAAATTATCCTAAGCAAGTTCTTCCCTTACTGACTTGAATAAATATTGGATAGTTTCTATATTAGTTTGTCAGAGACACTAAACAAAATGTCACAAACTGAGTGGTTTAAACAACAGAAGCTTATTATCTCATAGTTCTGGAAGCCAGAGTTTGAGATCAAGGTGCGGACAGGGCTGGTTCCCTCTGAGGTTTGGGTGGGAGAATCGATTCCAGGCCTCTCTCCTTGGCTTGTGAATGCATCGCCCCGATCTCTGCTCTTATCTTCACATGGTGTTCTCCCTGTGTGCGTTTCTGTGTCCGAATTGCCCCTTTTCATAGGGACACCTGTTATTTGGATTAGGGTCCACCCTAATGATTTTGTCTTAGCTCGATCATCTGCAAAGACCCTGTTTCTAAATAAGGTCACATTCACAGGCACTGGGGGTTAGGACTTCAACTTCTCTTTTGCGGGGTACACAATTCAACTCATAGCATTTGCTTTTACTTTCTTCTAGTGGCTTGATAATCACTCCCTTTCCACTTGATTCTCTCATGTTTTGGAATTTATTTATTCAATAAATATGTGTCCAATAGCTACTATTTATCTGGCACTGTGAACTTGAGAACCTCAGTGAACAAAATAAAAATCCTTTCCTCTGGGAGCCCACATTGTAGGGGCAACGGAGGAGACATAATAAAATAGATATAGTATGTGATCAAGTTATATAGTTTGTGTAAATGTAAGCGCTACCTGAGGGAATATTTTGGATAGTGAAAATGTTCCATGCCTTGACTAGGGTGACGGTTATGTTTATATATATGGCCAATATACATTTCCAAAGGGCAAATTTTACTTTATGCCAACTGTACGTCAAGAAAATTGATTTTGTAAAAAGTGAGTGTTTTGGAGAAAGAAGGAAAGAAAGAAAGAAGGAAAGAAAGAAAGAAAGAAAGAAAGAAAGAAAGAAAGAAAGAAAGAAAGAAAGAAAGAAAGAAAGAAAGAAAAAGAAAGAGAGAGAGGGAGAGAGGGAAGGAAGAAAGGGAAGGAAGGAAGAGAAGGAAGGAAGAGAAAAAGAAAGAAGGAAGGAAAGAAGGAAGGGAGGGAGGGAGACCGAACAGGAGCCTGCACTTAATATTAAGATTTATTTTGGAATTCGGGGTGGAGTACGGATCTTACCCGCACCCTTCGGGTGCCGGTCATCTGCTGGGTCATCACTGAGGAACCCTCCCGGCCCAATCGCCGCCGCCTCGCACCCCTGCAGAAGGCACGTTGAAGGACCCAGGTGGGCGTCCGGCGTCTGCTGGGGCAGACGGCACTCCTGGCGCCCTCGCCGCCTGGGAACTGGGGAGTCCGCGCGCGCCCCCTCCCGGCCCCCGGGAACATCAGTCACCAAGTGTCCGTGGATGGGAAACGTGGATGAAGACCGTGAAAAAAACAGAGGTCGTGTGCAGAAGGCTGAAGGAGGGTTCGGTTTGTCTGGCCTTACCCGTCGCCTCCACCCGATCCCCAGTTACTGAATAATCAGAATACGTCCTGTTTTTCCTTGTGGCACAGTTGTCTCATCGCAGTTTCACTCCTTGGCCTATCCTGATGAGACACGGATTTTGCCTCAAGGGTTTTTGAATTATTTACAACAGTGAAGCAAATATGAACTGACTCAGATGTCCATCGGATGTTGAATAGATGAACAAATGTGTTCTATCCCGACAATGCAATATTATTCAGCCAAAATAGGGGACAAAGTACAGATACCCGTTACAACGGGGATGAACCTGGGAGATTCTGCTGGGTAAAAGAAGCCAGACACAAAAGGACAAATATTGCATGATTTTACTTATGTGAAATGCCCAGAATAGGTAAATCCAAAGAGACAGACAGTAGATTAGTGATTGCTGGGGGCCGGAGATTCGGGGGGGAGAAATGGGGAGTGACTGCTAATGGGTCCTGGGTTTGTTTTGGGAAAAGGGAAATGTTCTATGATTGGATAATGGTGATGGTTGCAGAATGTTGCAAATATACGAAAAGCTACAAAGTTGTACGCTTTAAAATGATGGATTTTATGGCG